ACATACCCCCACAAATAATATTGGTCTCACCATGGCCAAAGGTTATAAATATGGTTGTAAATACGGTATCTTAGTTGGAGTTCTTATTTGAAGAAACAAAACAACTGTCTATTTTAGATAGAGAAATAGTACATTAAAGAAAATTGGATCATTTGGAGAATCTATAGTCTTGCCAAAGAATGAGGTCAGGAGGCTCCATGATCACCCACAATATCACAAATCACTGCAGTTTGATAGAGTGAAGTTTACACTGATGCCCCATTCCAGAGAGAACCAACAGGCTGTGCTTTAGACAGTCCAGACAGTGGATACTGATTTTACCAATATAGTGGCACTTCTTTGCTAGACTAGATTCTGTATGGCCCCTGTTTCTTTGCCTACTGGATTCTATTTGATAAAGCATAGGCCATATTCCCACATATAGTTTCTTTTTTAAAACATCTTGTTGAAAGTATTACAGATGTGCCCCCTTTCCCCCCATTGGCCCCCTCCACCCTGCTCCTGACCCCTACCCAGGCTTTCACTGAGTTACTATTTCAAGGGCACCTGGGAAAGTGAATGTCATAAATCATTTTCCTCCTCTCAGGTTGGCATGGCAGACAGCATTAAGTGAGCTTCTAATTATTCTGCTTCCTGTTGTTCAGACCCTTAGATAACATGTAATCTTGAGTATGCACTGGACTTAGTAACTTCTGATGACAAAATACGGCAAACATGAAGGGTTGTCATATTAAGTCATACCTGTATTAGGTGCTTATTAATGGCTGAATTACGGCCTCCCCCCATATTCACATGCCAAAGCCCCAATTCCCAGTACTTTAGAATATGACTATTTGGAGAGATGGCTTTTTAGATGTAATTAAGTTAAAATGGTGTCGTTAGGGTGTGTGTCCTAATCTGATACAGTAGGTGTCCTTATAAAAAGAGATTAGGACACAGACAACACAAAGATCAACCATGTGAAGACACAAAGAGAAGGTGGCCATTTGCAAGCCAAGGAGAGAGGCCTCTGAAGAAAACAAGTTTGCTGACACCCTGATCTTGGATTTTTAGTTTCTAGATTTATGAGAAAATGCTTTTTTTTTTTTTTTTAATGCCAGCCCTTGCAAACTAATAGAATGCCCTTCTTTGCTCTTTGTTTCCTAGCTCTGAGGGAAGCCAGCTGCCATATTGTGAGCTATCCCTTGGAGAGGACCATGTGGCAGAAACTTGTTCTCTGGCCAACAGCCAATGAATACCTGAAGCTTGCCAACAGCCAAGTGCGTGGACTTGGAAGCAACAGCCAAGTTCAAGGCCCCTGACTGTAGCCTTGAGATGACTACAGTCCTAGCTGATTCTTTGAGTTCAGCCCATCGGAGATCTTGAACCAGTGGCATGTAGCTGAGCTATGCCCAGATTCCTTACCCACAGGAATGGTGATGAAAAGCAAGGGTCTACAACCAAGATTACTCTACCCAGCAAAACTCATTTAGAATTGAAGAAAAGATAAACGTCTTCCCAGACAAGAAAAAACTAAAGGAGTTCATCACCACCAAACCAGTATTATAAGAAATGTTAAAGGGTCTACTTGAAGACAAAGAAAAGAATATAAAAATATGAATAATAAAATGGCAATAAATACATATCTATTAACAATTACTTTAAATGCAAATGGATTAAATGCTCCAATCACAAGATATATGGAGGCTGAATGGATAAACAATACAAGACCCTTACATATGCTGTCTACAAGAGACTCACTTCAGATTGAAAAACACAAACTAAAAGGGATGGGAAAAGATATTTCATGAAAATGGAAACAAACAAAAAAGCTGGGGTAGCAATACTTACACCAGACAAAAAAGACTTTAAAACAAAGGCTATAACAAGGGGCAAAGAAGGACCCAGCAATTCCACTTCTGGGTATTTATCCAAAGAAACCGAAAACCCTAAATCGAAAAGACATATGCATCCATATGTTCACTGCAGCATTATTTACGATAGCTAAGATATGGTAGCAATCTAAGTGTCCATCAACAGATGAATGGATAAAAAAGAAGTGGCGTGTATATACAATGGAATATGACTCAGCCATAAAAAAGAATGAAATCTTGCCATCTGCAGCAACATGGATGGGCCTAAAGGGTATTGTGCTGAGTGTAAAATAAGTCAGACAGAGGAAGACAAATGCCAGATGATTTCACTTAGATGTGGAATCTAAAGAACAAAATAAACAGACAAGCAGAACAGAAACAGACTCATAGATACAGAGAACATTTTGACAGTTGCCAGGTGGGAAGTGAGAAGGGAGGCTGGGTGAAAAAAGGTGAGGGAATTAAGAACTACAACTTGGTAGTTACAGAATAGTCACAAGGATGTAAAGTACAGCATATAGAATATAGTCAATAATATTGTAATAATTATGTATAGTATCAGATGGTTATTTGATTTATCAGGGTTGGGGGGATCACTTAGTAAGTTATATAATGTCTAATCACTGGGTTGTATACCTGAAACTAATATAATATTGTATGTCAACTGTAATTGAAAAATAAAAAATTAAAACAACTATAATTTTTATTCAAAGTAATGGACTTCTCTTTCACAGAGAAAATAGGAAGGTAAGTAATTGAGGACTATTAAACATAACTGTTATAGCAGACCTAATAAATTCTCAAGCTCATATGTTACCACTTTCTATAGTCATACACATTCATTTTTCACTTGCTTGAATTAAAACACAAAATCCTGTTGTGTTTTAACATAATTCAAAGAAGTAACCACTTTATAATATATAGATATAAGAATATATGTATATAAAAACTATATTTGGTGACCACATTTCATTATTCTATCTTACTTGGGAATGATCCAAAGTTTTGCCATGATCATTCAATTTAATATTAGTCTAAGTTCTTAAATTTAACTAAGAATCTTAGAAATAAGTTTAAGTTGATAAATCACAAAAAATTACTGTTGTTATGCTGAATATCTCATAATTTTATTCAATTTATTGAAACACATATTTTTGCATGTATTTTTTGGAACTTTAACACTATGTGGACATAATATTAGCTCACCTTATTTGTAAATCAGCGTAAGAATTTTAGGGATTTAAATAACAGCTCCAAATCTTATAAAAACAAGCATATTTCACATGATAAAATCCAGGGAAGGCACATGCTTGTCTTCAAATCAAGCCGTACTAAACCAGTCTGAGCTATTAAAGCAATCTGATTATATATGCCTGATTTCTTACAGAAAAAGTCTCCTGCATTAGCAGCTTTTGTTGGAAAGGTTTTCATTTTTGTTTTTTTAAAAAAGGACAAGCATGAGAGTCAACTCTGATATCAGGAATTGTAATCCTCCAACTTTCTTCATTTATAAAAAATTATTTTGGCTATTCTGGGTGCTTTGCATTTTCATATATATTCTTTGAATAGTTAATTACTGCAGATAGAGCCCACTGGGGTTCGATAGGGATTGCACTGAATATACAGACGTTCTCTACCTGAAAAGATTCTCTTCATTCCAGATCTTTGTTTAGTTGGTCCCCCTTACTTGCTCAGCTCTCTGATGAATTTAAAATATAATTTTAGCAATTAACTCTATCTTGATTTTTGTAGGAGGAAATCTTGCCTTTTACTTCTACATTGTACTCAAAAGCCCACAAACTCCCAGGTTAACTTTGACGTATAAGAGCAAATGAATAACAGTCCTCCGTGCCTGTGTCTTCACTAGACGGGCGCAACTGAAAGCACTCTACACAAATAGTGTACTTACTCCTTATGAAGACCACCCAAAGAGGATATTGTTATCTGATTTTTACTGATGATTTTACTGAGATAGTAGTTTTAAAAGAGAGTCCAAGATCAGAGACATACAAAGCAGAGAATCTGGATTTTCTATCAAGGCAGTCTGGCTCCAAGATCCTCTGCTAAAAACCATTATACTATACAAATTGAAACAATAAAACCCAAGGGTAGAGACTGATTTTAACATTTATTAATATTAAAAAAAATTAAATAGTCAAAAGTGAATTAAACAGAAAAAAATAAAACCAGATATTCATATATAGGAGCCCGGAATCTGCAGGGAAAAACACAGATTCTTTTGAAGTTCTCAAAGAATATTTAAAAAATAACTAAACATTTAAAGTAAATATTAATATTTAAATATTGAATAGACTCAAAAGGGAAACTTTATCAAAGACCTAAACATGAAAGAGATGTATAATAGCTGTTAATAATGGGTTAGAAAGTCTGCATGGGAGAAAAGTCAGATTTAAACCTAAATGACCTCCTGATACTAATTTTATGTTTTAGAAAGTACAGGACAATAATTGCATCCATTAGATGTATGTGTGTTTGTGTGAGTTTGTGGTTCTGTGCTTATGAGTTTGTAGACAATAAAGTTATACAAAAGTATTAGTCATCAGCAACCAGCTTTTCAAGTATACTGGCCTTTCCTGGGTTCCTGAAAAAATCAGGATGCTTTTGATAGGAAAAACTTCAATTCTTTCTACACAATTCAGGCATTAAAAAAAAAAATCATAGTGATGATCATCCCAAGCTCCATCTAATAGTTTAGACATTCATTGTAGAGTGGGTTTTTAAATTTTACTAACAAACAACTAATGTTGATGAACACAAATTATGGACAGGTCAAACAAGGAAAAAATTGCAAAACATTGTGTTATTTGCATACTAGCAAATGAGAATTCAGCTTTCACTTCAACATCAGTTATGAAATAATCCAGCCAGTGGCAAGGACACATGCTGTTTGAAAAGGAGCCGGTTTGAACTATTAAGGAATAATAATGTTTTCCATAAAGATAGAATTGAACTCATCTATTAGCATACCCTGAAGCTTTCCTGCTTGGCATTGGTTGCAGAATTGAAAAGAAACCAGAACTTTACTGCAAATTCAGAAATCAGCTGCACATAGAACTTAAGGTCAGAATATTAAAGGAATCACGACCAGTGATATTAGACTTGGATTTTTTTTTCTTTTTAGACATCATGACTTTACAAATGAACATTCTTTCCATCCTAGTAATGATCCAATTTGTTCTAGGAAATTTTGCCAATGGCTTCATAGCTCTAGTGAACGGCATTGACTGGGTCAAGAGACAAAAGCTCTCCTGTGCTGATCGAATTCTCACTGCTCTGGCTGTCTCCAGAATTGGTTTCCTCTGGGTAATAGTATTCAATTGGTATGCAAGTGGATTTAATCTAGCTTTCTATGGTCCAGAAATAAGACATGCTGTTCATATTGCCTGGGTAGTAAGCAACCATTTTAGCCTCTGGCTTGCTACTAGTCTCAGCATATTTTATTTCCTCAAGATAACCAATTTCTCCAGCCTTTTATTTCTCCACCTAAAATGGAGAGCTAAAAAAGTGGTTGTCACGATAATGTGGGGGACTTTGGTCTTCTTGGTTTGTCACATTGCAGTGCTAAGCATACATGATAAAATGCAGACAGACGAGCAAGAAGGAAACCGCACTTGGGAGACCAGCTTGGGAGATAGTGTGAAACTTTCCAATGTGATTATAAACGCGCTTGTAAACTTCATACCCTTCACCATGTCCCTGACAGCTTTTCTGCTGTTAATCTCTTCCCTGTGGAAACATCTCAAGAAGATGCATCTCAGTGGCAGAGGTTTCCAAGATCCCAGCACCAAGGTCCACATAAGAGCCATGCAAACTGTGATCTCATTTCTCTTGCTATTGGCCATTTACTTCCTGGCTCAAGTCACCTCAGTCTGGAATTCTAATACTGTGCAGCACAATTCAGTTTACTTGCTTTGCAAGAGTCTTGCAATCCTGTACCCTTCAGGCCACTCATTTATCCTGATTTGGGGGAACAAGAAGCTGAGACAGGCCTTTCTGTCTTATCTGTGGCAGCTGAGGTGCCGGCTGAAAGAAAGGAAATGAGTGGGGACCATGAGTCTTCTGGCAGAAAACAAAATGATGGAGTCTGTAAGGTTTTGTACTTCTTACTGCATTTCTTAATGTGTATAGAACTGTGTAAGGTATACCTAAAAAAACTTTTACCTAAGCTTACCACAAAAATGTATATGTGTGCATGTTTATGAAAAAGATAAGATTATAAGATTATCATATTATTTTTTCAGGTGAGCAATCTAATTTTACAAAATACTGTAAGAAGTTCCTCAGAATTATGCTGTTGTAAATATTAGTGGTTTACAGTATGCTTAAATTCATATTTCTTAAAAATTCATGCAGTGAGAAATAAGACACCTTTGAATGTAGTGCTCTGTTTCTAAACTGATAATATAGAATCTTACTTGGAAAAAGTCTGGAATATGTGGTACCCACAAACATTCCTTATGAATGAGTTTCTTAGTTTTTATAATGCATCACGAAGTCATGAGTATTTCACATTCATATTCTATGTAATAATCTTTCAATTGAAGAATTTATGATCTATATTTATGCATTTTTAAGGACTGAAAACTCATCTCAGGAAACCATTGCTACTTTCCATTGTAATTAGTACCACACATATGTAGCACAGTGTGTTTAGATTTTTTTTGTTTGAACCTCCAATCTTCTGGATGGTAAGGATATCCAATTATTCTAAATCACAAATTGAGGATGGATGGATAATGAAGAAATCTCTTGGTTACTCAGCCATGGAAAAGAATGAAATCTTGCTATTTGCGACTTATGTGTGAAATCTCAAGTACTAAACAAATGAACAAATGAAACAAATAGACTTATAGATACAGAAAAACTGATATTTGCCAGAGGGTTGGGTGGTACGGGTATGGGCAAAAAGGTGCAGGGAATTAAGAGGTACTGACTTACATTTATTACATAAATAAGTCACAGGATGTAAAATACAACATAGGGAATAGAGACAATAATATCACAATAACTTGGTGTGGTGACAGAGAGTAGACTTTTTCTGGTGATCACTTTGTAAGGTGTATCAGTATGAAATCTCACTATGTTATACAACTGAAACTAATATTATAACTATACTTTAATTAAAAAGAGTTTTACATTCCAGAATAAAAGTAAATAAATCTAAAAGACCTCCATGAGATATATTTTTTCATTTTGTAAATTAAAGGACACTAATTTGTATCAGAATTTCTTAGAATTTTTCAGGAGACTAAGTGAAATGGATAAGTGGTGTGTGTGTGTGTGTGTGTGTGTGTGTGTGTGTGTGTATGCTTGTAAACAATGAAGCTATTTATGAAAATCAGTTATCAGCACCCAATTTTAGAGAGTATTAGCCTTCCTGATGGTCCTAGAAAAACTAGAAAATTTTTGAAAGGAAACATTTGGAAGCCAATAGATAAGTTCCTTTAGTCTTTCTGTGTAAATCCAAAGTTTTTGTTAAAAAAACACCTCAGCAATAATGAGCAATTATGGTCATCATGAGATGACAAAGATCCAACAACCAATTTAGTTATTTGCTGAATATTCTATGTACTAGATTTTAAAATTTTACTAGCTTATATCTCAAGTTGATTAATTCAAATGATGTAAAGGTGAGACAAGGCAAAAATTGCAAAACAATGAAAGGGAACATGTCTTTATTTGCATGTTAACAAATGAGAATTCAGCTCTCATTTCAACATCAGCTATGAAATATTCAGCCTATGGCAAGTACCACAGTATATGAACAAGAATCCATTTAAATCATTGGAGCAATGTCTTTACTAAAGACAGCTTAGAACCCATGTAGCAGCTAGCTACAGATTGCTTTGTAGCTCATGCCAGGTGGCCCCAGGCAGAACATCAGGGTGGCTGACCTTGCCCTGAACCTCCAGAAAGGCCCCTGGTGGACAGCCTCAGACCACACTGAAGCACCACCACACAACCATCTCCACAAGTGACACACTCAAGGGGTGGACACAGGGGCAACGAGAGCTCCACTGAAGTAAGTCGTGCTTTTAGTATGGACCCCTGCACCGCCGATCTTCCATAGTGGTTGATAGTCACAGTCAGTCCTTGCAGCTGATTAGCCTGGAGGTAAATCCCTCCCACTGACATGCCAAAAGCAATCAAGGCTCAACTACAACAGGAAAGTTTACACAGCCCACAAGGTGGACACATCTGAATCAGGTAGGCTGTGCAACTGGACCCTACAGGACACCTGCTACGTAAGGTCACTCTACTAAGCCTACCTAACACATAGAAACAAACACAGGGAGGCAGCCAATAGAAGGAGACAAGGAAGCATGTCCTAAATGAAAGAACAGAACAAAACTCCAGAAAAAGAACCAAACAAAATGGAAACAAGCAATCTACCAGACGCAGAGTTCAAAACACTGGTTATAAGAATGCTCAAAGAACTCAGGGGAAGAGTAGATGAACTTAGTAAGAACTTCAAAAGAAGAGAGGAAATATAAAAACAGAGATAGAAAACATAAAAAGAACCAGTCAGAAATGAATACATTGACTGAAATGGAGAATACATTACAGGGAATCAACAGTAGGGTAGATGAAGCTGAATATCAAATCAGTTATTTGAAATATAAGGAATCAAAAACGCCCCATCAGAACAGCAAAAAGAAAAAAGAATAAGAAAAAATGAGGACAGTGTAAGAAGCCTCATGGACAAATTGAAGGGTACCAAAGTTTGCATCATGGGGTGCTGGAAAAAAAAGAGAGATAGCAAGAAATTGAAAACCTATCTGAAAAAATAACAGAAAACTTACCTAACCTGGTGAAGGAAATAAACATACAAGTCCAGGAAGCATGGAGAGTCCTAAACAAGAAGAACCCAAAAAGGCCCACAGCAAGACACAGCATAATTAAAATGCAAATGGTTAAATACAAAGTGGAATCTTAAAAGTAGCAAGAAAAAAACAGTTACCTACAAGGGAGCTCCCATAAGACTATCAGTAGATTTCTCACCAGAAATTCTGTAGGCCAGAAGGGACTGTCAAGAAATATACAAAGTGATGACAAGTAAGGACCTACAACCAAGATTACCCAGCAAAGGTATCATTCAGAACTGAAGAAAAGATAAAGAGCTTCCTAGACAAGAAAAGGCTAAAGGAGTTCATCACCACCAGACCAGTATTATATGAACTGTTCAAGGGTCTTCTTTAAGAAGAAGAAAAAAAGGTAAAAAATGCAAGCAATAAAAGTGCAATAAATACATATCTATCAACAACTGAATCTAAAAAACAGAATAAATGAACAAGCAGAACAGAAACAGAGTCATAGACACAGAGAACATTTTTGTATTGTTAATCCTCACCTGAGAATATTTTTTCCATTGCTTTTCAGAGAGTGGAAGGGAGGCAGGGAGGGGAAGACAGAGAGGGAGAAAGGGAGGAGAGAGAAACATCAGTGTGAGAGAGACACATTGATTGGTTGCCTCTCGAACCCACCCCGACCAAGGAGAAAACCCACAACCCAGGTATGTGCCCTTGACAGGGAATCAAACCTGCAACGCTTTGGTGCACTGGCCGACGCTCTAACCACGGGGGCACGTATACCAGGGCGATATAGAGGACATTTTGACAGTTGCCAGAAAGGAGGGATTTTGGGTGGATGGGTGAAAAAAGCGAAGGGATCAGGAAGTACAAGCTGGTTGTTACAGAATAGTCATGAAGATGACTATATTCCTGCAAAAGGAATATAGTCAGTAATATTCTAATAGCTATGTATGGGTTCAGATGGGTGTGAGATTTATGAGGATGATCACTTAGTAAGTTAAGTAATGTCTAAACACTGGGATGTACACCTGAAACTAATATAATAATGTATATCAACTGTAATTGAAATATAAAAAAATGATTTAAAAAAATTATCTGACCATGATGGTGAGTGTTAATATCTGAACTTCATTTGTGTTTCATTGATGTACATGTGTATTGTTATTCAAGTAGTGCACTGTCTTGATTAATACAGCTTTGTAACAAGCTTTAAAATTAGAAACTGTGATCCTACAACTTCGTTCATTTAAAAAATTCCTTTGGCTAGTGGGAGTGCTTTGCATGTCCATAAACATTTTAGGAATAATTTTCACTTTCTGCAAAAGAGCCTTCTGGGATGTGATAGTGATTGCATCGAATATGCAGATCATCTCTTCATCTAAAATCTCCCTTCTTACCTGGATTTTAGTTCACTGGTCCTCCTTCCTTACACAGCTCTGTGATGCAAATAATTTTGACAATTCATTCCCATTTTCTTGGTTGTTGTAGGAGGAAATCTTGCCTTTTTCTACTGCTCCATTGTAGTCATAAGCGGAAGTTCTCCCAGGTTAACTTTGAAGTATCATATGACACAGGATCAAATGAATAACCTTTCTTGGTGCCTGGTGTCTGTATGAGACAGGCACAGTTGAAAGCACTCTACACAAATAGTATACTTACTCCTCACAAAGACCACCAGAAAAGCTTATCATTTTTATCTGATTTTTACTGATAATTATACCGAGGCAGAGAGTAGTTTTAAAAGAGCCCAAGATCAGAGACATACAAAGCCTTTAATCTGGGTTTTCCTTTATGGCAGTTTAGATCTAAGATTGTCCTGTAGAAACAATTATAATATAAAACTGAAACAATAAAACCCAAGGTTAGAGGCAGATTTTAAAATTTATTAATCTTAAAATATTAAGAAATTAGAAATGAATTAAGCAGAAAAAGTAAAACTGAATTTTTATATACAGAGAAGTTCTAGACTTTGCAATGGAAACCACATGTTCTTTTGAAGATTCTAAGGAATATTTATAACCTTTATAACATTTTAATTAAATAATTAATACTTAAATATTGCATAGACTCAAATGAGAAATGTAATCAAAGCTCTAGCATGAGACAAGTGTTTGAGATATATATATATATTAATAATGGGCTGAAAAGCCTGAATGAAATAAAAGATGGATTCAAACCTAGATAACCTTGTTGAGACTCATTTTTCTATTTTGAAAATTATGGGACAATAATTTATTCCTTCCATGAGGTGTGTGGGTGTGTGTGTATGTGTATGTGTGTGTGTGTGCATGTGCTTTATGCTTATGAGTTTAGAAACAATAAAAGTATAAATAAATGTTAATTATTGGTAACCAGCCCTTAGTGAGTATTGGCCTTCCTGGGTTACTCAAGAAAACCTTGATGGCTTAACAGGAAAAGCTTGGATTTTTTCTATGTATATATCTTTAAAAACAAAAATCCAAAAGGGGGGATAAATGGTGATGGAAGGAGACTTGACCTTGGGTGGTGAACACACAATATACAGATATTGTATTATAGAATTGTACACCTGAAACTTATATAATTTTGTTAACCAAAGTTATCCCAATAAATTTTAATTAAAAAAAGTTAAAAATCCATAGTGANAGTATGTGTATGTGTGTGTGTGCATGTGCTTTATGCTTATGAGTTTAGAAACAATAAAAGTATAAATAAATGTTAATTATTGGTAACCAGCCCTTAGTGAGTATTGGCCTTCCTGGGTTACTCAAGAAAACCTTGATGGCTTAACAGGAAAAGCTTGGATTTTTTCTATGTATATATCTTTAAAAACAAAAATCCAAAAGGGGGGATAAATGGTGATGGAAGGAGACTTGACCTTGGGTGGTGAACACACAATATACAGATATTGTATTATAGAATTGTACACCTGAAACTTATATAATTTTGTTAACCAAAGTTATCCCAATAAATTTTAATTAAAAAAAGTTAAAAATCCATAGTGATAATGATCCTATCTATGGCCAAACTTCATTGAACAGCTGAGCAATCACTGTGTATTCAATGTATTGGGTTTTTAAATTTTTTCTAATGACAAAGTTGGTGAACACAAATTATAGTGAGGTTAAAGAAAGACAACTGCAAAACAGTGAAAGAGAATATGTCTATATTTGCATGCTAGCAAATGAGTGTTCAGCTTTTACAACAACATCGGTTATGAAATATTCCAGCCTACGGCAAGGACATAAGTATTTGAATAGGAGTTAACTTAAGTTGTTTGGAGCATAACAATGTTTTTCATAAAGAAAGCATTGAGATTTTCCATTAGCATACCCTGGTGCTTTCCTACTTGGCACTGGTCATAGAATTTTAAAGAAACAAGAATCAGCTGTAAATAGAACCTAGGGCTAGAAGATTAAAAGGATCACGGACACTGATATTAGATTTGGCCTTCTTTTTTCCTAGACATAATGAGTTTTTTACCAAGCATTCTTTCCATCCTCGTAATGGCAGAATTTGTTCTAGGAAATTTTGCCAATGGCTTCATAGCACTGGTGAACTGCATTGACTGGGTCAGGAGACAAAAGATCTCCTGTGCTGATCGAATTCTCACTGCTCTGGCAGTCTCTAGAATCGGTTTGCTNTTGACTGGGTCAGGAGACAAAAGATCTCTTGTGCTGATCGAATTCTCACTGCTCTGGCAGTCTCTAGAATCGGTTTGCTCTGGACAATAATATTCTACTGGTATTCAAGTATGTTTTATCCGGTTTTCTATAGTTTAGAAGTAAGAGCTATTGTTTATATTGTCTGGGTAGTAAGCAACCATTTTAGCCTCTGGCTTGCTACTAGCCTCAGCATACTTTATTTGCTCAAGATAGCCAATTTCTCCTGCCCTTTATTTCCCCACCTGAAATGGAAAGCTAAAAGAGTGGTTATCATGATACTGTGGGGGACTTTGGTCTTCTTGGTTTGTCGACTTGCACTGTTATACGTGGATGAAAAACTAAAGATGAATGAACGTAAAGGAAACAGCACTTGGGAGACGAACCTCAGGGACACTGTGCGCCTTTCAAATATAACTGTGTTCATGCTTATATATGTCATACCTTTTACTGTGTGCCTGACAGCTTTTCTGCTGTTAATCTTTTCCCTGTGGAAACATCTCAAGAGGATGCTGCTCAGTAACAAAGGATCCCAAGAGGTCAGCACCAAGGTCCACGTAAGAGCAATGCTGATTGTGATCTCCTTTCTCTTGCTACTTGCCATTTACTTTGTGACTCTAATTCTCTCAGTTTGGGGTTTCTATAATCCTCAGAATATACCAGTTTCTCTGTGTTTCCAGATTTTTACAATTGCCTATCCTTCAGGCCACTCGTTAATCCTGATCTGGGGAAACAAGAAGCTAAGTCAGGAGTTCCTCTCAGTTACATGGCAGGTTAGGTGCTGGCTGAAAGGATGGAAACCTTCAACACCATAGACCAATAAGAGGGAAATTGTTTGTGTTCTAGCAGAAACAAAGTGATGGAGCCTGTAACATATCATACTTCCTACTGGTTTTACCCCAGTGTATGTAACTGAATAATTTTCAAAGATCTGCCTTAGTTTATCACATAACAGCATATATATGTGGATGTATAAAAATATAAGAAGAATTTGTAAATAACTTATCTTGAGTCAATTTTTTCAGAAAAGACATCTAATTATACAAAATATTGTGAGAAATTCCTCAGAATTATAAAGCCATGAGTATTTCACATACAGAGCCTCTGTTTTCATGTTGCCATTGGAAAATTTGTGATCTATATTTATGGATTTTTAAGAGTTGACAAATTAACTCAGAATATCATTGCTATTTTAAATTGTAATTTGCACCCCAGTGTGTTTAGATTTTAGTGTTGGGACGTCTAATCTTTGGCATGGTGAGGATGTTTAATTCTAAATCATACCTTGAGGATGTTTATTTGGGACAGATTTTATTCCACCCTGACTATTTAATTCATGGTTAACAGATAGCAACCAGAACTTTTGTTAAGAATTCAAATTTGACAAACATATTTTGAGTAAATTCTAAATGTATTTACAATTCAAGAGTGACAAACATTTTTAGAATAAATTCTGCATAGGTGTACAATGAACAGTACTAAAGAATACTTGATTTGATAAAGTAGGTGAAAATCTTAGAAAAGTCAATTTCTACAATAGAAATAAAGATGTATGAAAGAAACATGATTGTGACCTTTTTAAAAAGCTGTTATCAAATTTCACATTGTTAGGAAAGTCACTTTTTTATAGTTTTTGAAGGGAAACTATTGCTGAAGTTGAGATCTGATGTCAAATATTTCAGTTTGGTTTTTTTATAACACCTCTGGGCATTAAATTGAGAAATATCCCCTACATCTTCCATCCTCAAAATTACTTTTAAACTTCATATAAAAAGACCTAAATCTTCCCCATCTAAAAAAAAACACTCACTGTATGAATAGTAAAAAAATCGTGGTATGTAATTCAATAAACCTTTCTGCATACAGTAAATGGCAGTTTTCTATGGTATAATTTTAATGATATTTTTCAAACTGATTATTGAATACACAAAAAGGGTATCTGATTAATTAAAATTGAGTTATTAATTGCTTTATTAACTCAGCTGCTTAACTAAAATATTATTTTAGATATAATATTTTTATATATCTTCTCTAAATAAACTTTTGTTTTTATTTTATATTTTATTGAAATATATTTGACAGATCCCAGTGTGTAATTTAAAGTACTCGAAATAACCTTTGTATTGTAATATTATAAGCTCACATAAAGTGAGCAAATAACCGTTGTACACTTCAATGAACATCTTAGTCTGGGGCCTCTAAAACTGGAACCGAAGTCAGGGGTTAAAGGGGTGACATTCACTTGGGAAGGCACCCGAAGCCGCAGCAGGAAGCACACGCGGACCTGAAGCAAGAGAAGGTGTGGAATGAAGTGCTGCGATGTGTCACTCTGCCCGCTGCCACCTTACAATGTGTTGGGAAACAAAATAATGGTTAGCACTTCCACAGGGGACTTTTTTGGGAGGGTGACAAGGAGGAACCACATGTAGCATTAGTCCATGGAGGGGAATGTATCTTCCCAGCTCTCCCCTGTCCCCTGCTTGCCACTGGCCGGTGTTTATCCAAAGCTGAACTGACGTCTCTGTTCAGCTGGCCCAGGGGTGGGAAACGGCCGGCCCGTGGGCTGTACATGGCCCTTGAAATCATTTGGTCTGGCTCTGTCATGGCCTCACCAAAGAGAAGCAGTTACATTACATTAGGGGCGACTTAATTAAATGTTTGCCCAAATATAGCAGGCTAATTTTTAAGTTGGTAATTCTGTATAGCCTGCGAATGATGCTGTAAGTATCCAAATGGCCCTTGGCAGAAACAGGGTTCCCCACTCCTGATTTCTAGCCTCTTGGTGCCCATTTAGAAAGTTAGATCTCATGCTCCACAATGTGTTGTTTTATCCACTCCAAAATGGAAAAATGATCTGGCTCAGGCAGGGTGCTGACCAGAGAATTGGAGACAGTCTAGGGAAGTTGACAAAGCACACACATTTGTATCTGAACAGCTCACCCCTTGTGCCACTCAGAAGTACTCATGCCCTCCTATCATCCAGAATATCCACTGGCTTTCTAATGAATGACTCGTGCAGTTGCAACGGCCTTGGGTTTAGAGGAGCTCCCTGCTTGGTTTAATGCTGTGCTCTTCCCATGTTGGTTTTCCAACAGAGGGTAGTCCTCTGCTATGAGGAGATGGCCTTGCACTAATTCACCAGGGGTTTGTTCTCCTACTCTCTCTTGGGACTTGTCAGCAACATACGCAGTGTCTGTGCCTGCTACAATGGGGTCAATTATTAACCTTTTTGAAATTTTAAAATGAGAAACCTATAAAATATCAGATATATATGTAGTATGTAAGACAAAGTTACTAAAACTAGACCTTTAAAATTTTATACACATAAAAATAAGTTCCTAATTTAGAGTATATGTCTAAAGTTCAGACTGAAAATGAAGAATAAAATGTAGACTATTGAAAATTGTATACACTAAATTTATTGTCTCAAATATGACACAATTTGCAAATGTCTTTTAGAAACTCCTCAGAATCATGAAGCTGTTTTCTTTCAGTTAACCTTTGTATATGATTAGTTTCACATTCAAGAATGTATGAATTATATTTGTTATTATTAGAAATATCAAATTTACATTTAGAAATCAATTTTATTTGCCAAGTACTTTTCAAATATGTAGCATAATTTATTTTTATTTTAATGCATAAAGCTACCAAATCTTGGCTGATGATAGTCTTTTAATTATAAATAACTCTTTGGGAGATTGGTGTTTTTGGTATATTTTATTTTATTATGTACCCCTATTTTACTGGTCAGTAGGAAACGACCAGGTTGTCATAGAAACAAATATCTAGAATAACTCATTAGTGACTAACACATAATTTGCATGAATTTTGAATATGTGTATATGTTATTAATATTGATAGTATGGCAGAAATAAAAACTAATTAGCTAAAACATGTACAATAAATCATGTTTAAGAGTTGGAGTAAAGGAGAGGGAGTCATGATCACATATCCTGTGTTCAATGTTGAGAAACCTTTAATGAAATAGAATCTGTATGCTTTTAGAAATGAAGAAGTCTTTACTCATGGCTTACATTCACAAAGAAACCCCTTTAATTCAGGCTTTGTGTTTGAAATAGATTTTTCCTGTTTTGCTAATGTAGTTCATTCATTTATTCAGTGAATAACTATATGTTGAACAATCTCTTCTATGTGACTTTGGAGACATTTTAATAAGAAACACAAGCTATAATATAACATTAAAGGTGGACACATGTAATATGTAGCTACTATAAAGAGGAAGTTACACTTTTATGTGCCAGGTAAGCTCTGTACTCCAGAACTTGTTGATATTCACACATGCATAATACCATTGCTGATGGGAAGAAACTGAGGTCCTAAGATGTTAAATGACTTACCCCGTAGTTCATGAAGATGCAAGCACAGAGCTAGAGTAAAAGTCCCCAGAGCGTAGGGCTTTCCCCAGACTCAGAGGAAACATGACCAGGAAGAGGCTTCTCACAGCCACATGTAGAATCTGGTGGAAAAATCATGTAAAATTTTTGTAATTTTGGTGCTTATATTAAATGGTCTTCATTTTTTCTAAAGTATTTGATACTTGGTTAATGTGTCCACAAAAAGGCAGTTGTTTTTGTTTGCTTGTTTGCTGAGTTAGAAGCCAGCTGCCTTACCAAGCTGTCACAAGTGGTTTTTTAAAAGATCATTCTTTTGTCTCTTGCAGATAGAAAATGATGTCATCTGCTTATAATGATTATTTTACTTACTCCTTTTAATTATTTATAATTCTTTTGTGTGTAGGTGTGTTGGCTTGTTTTATGAAATGGCTTGAACCTTTAAAATATTAAGTAATTGTAGTTATAACTGTCATCTTTGTTTATAAATGGAGAGTTTTCTAGTGTTTCATCAATACGTATAATACTGACTTAAGCTTTGGGGTAAGTACTTTTAAAAATTGTCTTCAAAAAGAATCTCTTTCTTCCTACCTTTTTGTGTATGGTACTCTAATAAAACCTGCATAAGAATATGAAATGTGTTTGGTTATTTAAGATGATCATATATTTCCCTTTCTTCTGACCGATTAAAATAATACATATTAATCATGGTACATAAAACAATGGTATGCCTTCTAGTCTATGCATTCTAGTTTCAATGAAATATCATGTCTATTCACATTTATATAATGTAATAAATTTGCAACTGTGAAAGGAAAATTGAAGTTTAGAAAGCAACTACAATGTAATTAGAGGTAATCTCCAAAGTGGGAAAAAGAAATTTGAATAACATGAGAAATTTTATCAAAACATAATGTGCAATGCCCTGGTCAGTGGCTCAGTGGTTAGAGCGTCAGCCCACTCGCCGAAGGGTTTTGGGTTTGATTCCCAGTCAAGGGCACGTACCTAGGTTGCAGGTTTGAATGCCAGCCCTGGTCTGGGCTCCTGCAGGAAGCAACCAATAGATGTGTCTCTCTCACATCGATGTTCCTCATTCTCTCTCTCCCTCCCTCTTACTCTAAAAATCAGTGGAAAAATCCTGAACAGAAATAACTAACTAAGTAAATACATAAATTCTAAAACAAATACCCTGCTGCAAATTCTCAAACACTGGGCTGCAGATACAACACCATCTCAGAAGTCTCCTCTAAATGGACTTTGGCCTGAAGAACACTCATGATACAGGAGATAATATGTAAATCTGATGCCACATTCTAAACCTTGGTCAGTATGCAATTTTTTAAATACTAAACAAAATATTAGTGACAGTTTTAAGATGTTGTTTTTTTTTATTCCCTACTCCCACTGAATTAACATTAACTGGAAATAACCAATAAAAATCAGAAATGAATGACAAAATA